TCAGGTATGCCATTTCGGCCAAGTCAAAGCCGGGTTGAAGAGAATGACATGGTGCCATTCTGAAATGTCTAGCCAGTAGCGGGGGAAAAGGTGATGCTCGTCCACACAATCAGATTCACTGACTAAGAGAACATTTACGCTCCCCGAAAAAAAAAAAAAAAAAAAAAAAAAAAAAAAAAAAAAAAGCAGTTCTCCATCCCCGCAAACAATAAACCATCTCCCCCCAAACAACCCCCCGGTCGAAATTTAGAGACACTAACATATTCACGCAGAAATTATACATTACAAAATTGAGCAGGGATCACTTCCATAGGATCGGGAAGGCCAGGCGCTCCCCAATGTCCACGGAGAGGATGTGGGGGGGCCAGAACAATCCATCACCGAACAACCCCAAGCGAAAACAGCAGGACGTCCACATAGATGTGAGGGCGAAGTTCAGAGCTTGCCAGTAAGACGATGTCGGAGGATGTTCATCGTCCAGGACGCCTCCAGATGGTAATAGGAAATAGAAGGTTAGGAGAAGGCACCAATCGATAACCAACTGGAAAGCGGGAACGGACGCGCTGTGGAGTGCGGAGAAATTAGTGACGATTAGGAAGGCAGAGCCTAAAAACTGATCCCCCTTTGTATGAGGACGAGAACAGCTAGAATGTGGCCAACTCCAACCCCTTGTAAGGCATGAAATGAGCTGTGGAGACCACTATGTGCGCATAGGGGACAGTGACAGAGTTCCATGGATCACAGGCTGCAGTTCTTGACGGATAAATAGTAAAGGAGTAGGAGTCCGACGAGCATTGATCAGAGAGCGCAAGTGCGCAACTAGAACATATGGGGCGGTGTGGACGAAAAAAGGTGCGCAGTAACAGTAGAACGTACACAGCAGGGTATGCATCAAAGTAGCAATGGTAAGGGAAAGAACAGGGGACCATTAGGTGTCGCGTCTTGGCCTCCTGTGTGCTGGCGAGGCCGTCGAGCCTGGGCTGAAGGTAGTCGTGGCGTCTCCCATGAGGGGTCTCGGAGGGGTCGATGGGGCCATCCGCCCTCTACGAGAAGACTCTGACCGCGCCAATCCATAGCATTATCCTCGGCTGCCAAATCCTGGGATAGCGGCAATCTCATGGAGCTGAACCAATCTGGCAGGTCAATCAGCGGGATGTCTATGGAGGCACAGAAAGAGGGCAGTTCTTCAGGGGTGCGCAAGTTGTAAGAACGACCACTAACTTGTACAGAGAGACAGAAGGGGAACCTCCATCTGTACGGAATGAGTTACGCGATCGGAGTGAGTCCAGAAGAGGGCACGCCGTTGGCGTAGGGTGGTGCTGGATAAGTCCTGAAAAAGTTGTATTTCTGTCCCCTCATATAGAAGGCGCCCTCTGTCTCTAGCACATCAGAGGACATCTTCTTTGAGCGGGAAGCTGACTAGGCAGCAAACGATATCCCTGGGTTGGGTCTGCATCTCCCCTCCTGGGCGGATCGCTCTGTGCACACATTCGATGTCAATCGGGTTGCTTGCAGGCGACCAAGGAGGTTATTGAATATGGCCATTGCTGCCTTGGGAATATCGGTTATTTTCTACTGATTCTGGGAGACCGCGGATCCTGATGTTACGCCTGCGGCCACGGTTATCTAAATCCTCAATATGCCTGTGGAGCTCTCTGATAGTTGACACGTGTATCGTTGACCGATGTTGTAAATCAAGAATCGCAGCAGAACCATTTTGCCTGGATGCGGATTCCACGTGATCCAATCGTGAACCCATGGCCCTTAAATCATTATGCAGGTCCCCTAATGCTGCAGTGAGTGTGGCTGTCAGGGTGGCTTTAATGTCAGCAGCCACAGCCTGAAGATCCCTCAGGGACAGAGATTGTGAGGCAGGGGGGACATCATGCTGAGGCACTGTGGGGGGCTGCCTGTATTTCAGAGCAGGAAGGGTTAACATTAGGAGACCGTTGGAGAGGAGGAGCCGAGGGGAGGAGGAGGTGGGGGCTCACCGCAGAGGGCAAGGACGCAGCAGGAGAAGGAGATGGCTGCGGCCCCCTCCCTTTGCTGTTGGGAGCGGAAGAGCTCCGTTATTGTCTCTCCCCTGCACACCCTGGCCCCGTGGGGAGGAGCGCGATCGTGTACCGGAGGAGGTCCGGTCAGACCTTCCCATTGTTTGGCAGCTCCCTCTCACCCCGCTCCGTCGTGCGGCGATATAGAGGGATCCGGCCGCTCCGGGAGCTCCCTCTCTCTATGCGGCCATCTTCCAGCCGCGGCAGACCACGCCCACAGATTTAGGTTTTTTTTATACATATATTTTTATCTAATATTTATAAGTTATTATATATATATGAATTTTGTTCCCTGTATTATGAATTTCTCTATTGAGCACCTTATACTTAATATTTTGCAGAGAGATTCCTGTTATGTGGATTTAGGTGTATTCAGTTATTGTATGCATAATAATTACGTCCCCTGCATAAAATATCTTCTTATTTAGTATAGAGGCAAGTACTTGGTAGGAAGGATACTACAAAATATATTCATAATTTGTTAAATAATGTAATTAAATTGTATGATTGGGAAAGTCTGGTTATCGGTATTAGAGGAAGAGGTACGCTTAGCCCTGGTTAAAAATGGCTGGCAGATTGAGATTCGGTGATCATTTGGAAATACAGATAAAATATGGCTGCTGATTGACGAAACACACCCTTTATGGAGAAGTCAGGAAGTGACGAAACACGCCAAGAGACGTGACGTTGGACATTGCACAGTGACTGGAAGTGGCGGAGCGGCCATCTTAATTGAGGAATATCGTGATTGGTGTTCATGGAAGCTGCTCGTGAGATAGGAATGGTAAACCTCTAATTTCCGTACTACCGTGTCACCATCATGTGCATTGCACGACAATCATGGGTTTTAAAATCAGGTGATGAGAAGACAACATATTACCTCCTCACCACCTGTCAAATGCACTGGGATCGCTTTGCAGAGTAGCACCAGTGCCTACTGCACCTGTGAATGAACCCTTAGTTGTAATAGGCAGTGGCACCGTAAGAGGTTGTTCACATGTAAGTTGGGGAGTGGTAAAAACCCTGTGATTGAATCACGGTTTTACCACACCCCAATCCCTACCCCCTTTAGCTGCTGAGACAGCTTAAAGGGGTACACATGCCACAACAGGAATTACACCTCCTGTTGCTTTTGGTGGGTGCCACCACCTGTCAGCCAAGACCCATTCAAGTAAATGGACCACTCTGCAAGTGCCCTGAAACTGCATGTTTCTGCAGGGTTCAAGAGCTTAAAGTAGGTGGTGTGAAAGCAACACAACGCTGCCTGTTTAACCCTTTGTTTGCTGTACTGCACAAGGTTGCAGGGCACTTGCAGAGTGGCCTCATTCACTTGAATGGGTCATGCTTGGCAGGTGCTACACCCACCAACTATGACAGGGCATATGGAGCAGCACTACAGAGGAGACATCAGCTTATGCGGCTCTTGCTCCCTACTACAACTCCAACTTTACAAGTAGTTCCTTTGCATTGCACTTTTTTTGATGCTCTGGGATGGTGGGTCAGCAAGCCCAGACCAAGATTTACCAGTCACCTTGCCGAGATCTACTGGCAGAGACCATGATCTACTGGTTGCTGGAGAAATTCATCTTCCGCCCTAGTAGATGAATTTCTAGATATGTCTTTCTTGCCAAAATTGATGGTGGAGGATCTAGAGAGTCTTAAAGTATGTGTGAACCCTTTCCTTGTAAAAGCCATTTACCGTATTTTCCGGCCTATAAGACGACTGGGCGTATTAAGACGACCCCCCTACTTTTCCTGTTAAAATATAGGGTTTGGGCTATACTCGCCATATAAGACTACCCCTCTTCCAACGCACACCAAATAAAAATTAAAAAACATCAGATTTGATTTCAATATGGTATGCTATTTCAGTATGGTATCCAATGATGGGGTGCTATTCCTCCTACTGACACCAATGATGGGGCACGATTCCTCGCTCTGACACCAATGATGGGGCACTATTCCTCCAACTGACACCAATGATGGGACACTATTCCTCCCACTGACACCAATGATGGTACCCCATCATTAGTGTCAGTGTGTGAGGAATAGTGTCCCATCATTAGTGTCAGTGGGAGGAATAGTACTCCATCAGTGTCAGTGGGAGAAATAGTGCCCCATCATTAGTGCCAGTGGGAAGAATCGTGCCCCATCATTGGTGTCAGTGGGAGGAATAGTGTCCCATCATTGGTATCAGTGGGAGGAATAGTGTCCCATCATTGGTGTCAGTGGGAGGAATAGTGTCCCATCATTGGTGTCAGTGGGAGGAATCATGCCCCATCATTGGTGTCAGTGGGAGGAATAGCACACCCCATCATTGGTGTCAGTGGTAGGTAATAGCACCCCATCATTGGTGTCAGTGGGAGGAATAGCACCCCATCATTGGTGTCAGTGGGAGGAATAGCACCCCATCATTGGTGTCAGTGGGAGGAATAGTGCCCCCATCATTGGCGTCAGAGCAAGGAATCATGCCCCATCATTGGTGTCAATGGGAGGAATAGCACCCCGTTATTGGTGTCAGTGGGAGGAATAGTACCCCATCATTGGTGTCAGTGGGAGGAATAGTACTCCATCATTGGTGTCAGTGGGAGGAATAGTGCCCCAACATTGGTATCAGTGGGGGGAATAGTGCCCCATCTTTGGTGTCAGTAGGAGAAATCGTGCCCCATTTTGGTGTCAGTGGGAGGAATCGTGCCCAGTCTTTGGTGTCAGTGGGAGGAATAGTACCCTATCATTGGTTGTCAGTGGGGGAAGGAATAGTGTTCCATCATTGGTGTCAGTGGGGGGTGGAATAGTGCCCCATCATTGGTGTTCAGTGGGGGGAGGAATAGTGCCCCATCGTTGGTGTCAGTGGGTGGAGGAATAGTGCCCTTTCATACATGAAAGTTATAGCGTTTACAAAAGCAAGTATATATATTCGGGTTTTTTTTTTTTTTTTACGGTGGCGATCAGCGCCTTATAACAGGACTGTGGCGGGCATTCTGACACTGGGGGGAACTGACTTGGTGTCACTGACATCCCCAGTGACACCAATACAGTGATCAGTGCTAATAAAAAGCACTGACACTGTACTAATGGCACTGGGCATGAAAGAGTTAACATCTGGGGTGATCAAAGGGTTAACTGCGTGCTGCGTGCCTTTTACATGATGTTCTGTGTTTGTGCTCCACTGTAAGCACCCTGCTTTGCATGGCTGTGTTGCCATGCAAAGCAGTGTGCTGGAGCTGACAGGGAGAACTGTTTTGTTTACTAAGAGTTCTCCCCCCCATCAGAGATACAATTGATAGTCGAGTCCACGAATGGTGACACGGGTAGGTCACGCGCAAGGCTACCCAGGAATGCAAAATCACAAATATATATATATACAGTACGTGATTTTTCACACCGCTGCTGGACTGTAGCAGTATTTCTGTTATGGGGTGGCGCTAAAGCAGTTAAAATAGAAATGAAAGGCAAAACATTTGTGTATAGATATTAAACATTAATATAAATACCCTTTTTTAATTGATCGCATAATCTCTGTTCTCAGCTGAATAAGGGTCTTAGAGAGGTGGAGAAACAGCAGTACATTGATCATCTGTGCAGGGCAGCATGTCAGCAGAGAAGTCGGACCTTTGGGGGTTAAGCAGGTTGTAATCCTAGCACAGCCACAATATTGACCACACTGGGAAGGATGTGCTTCTATGCCTAGTGTGGTCAGTCTGAAATAGTAAAGTAGGGAGATTGGCAGGAACACAAGTTATTTCACACAAAGGAAGAATTCCAAAGAGAAAAGGATACTTGTTAACACAAACACATGGTAGAACAGACACATATCAGAAACATGCATTGTTGGGGTAACATATTCTTTATGACTGAGATTATTCCTTTTGAAATAAAGCAGGTTATAATGTTCTCTTCAAGAGAAAATGCACCTAGCTCTGATGTGATGGTCTAACAAAAAAAATCATAACTGAAGAAATTCACACAAATCTCTTCGCCCTGTATAAGCACATAATTACACAACTTTTCCTTACTGGTAATAACGCTTGTATTGTATACATCTGTTTCCTAATATAGCCTTCCTAATATTATTATTATACAGTATTTATATAGCGCCAAAGGGTTTTCTCAGCGCTGTACAATAGCAAGGGAGACAGAACATGAGACAAGACAGGAACAAAGCAATACACAAGGGGTTCGAGGGCCCTGCTCTTTCGAGCTTACAATCTAGGAGGGAGGGGAAAGTGGTACAGGAGGAAATGGCTGTGGGGGATGGAATGGTGGGAGGAGTGGAGGAGGTCAGTTGTTAGGTGAGGGTGGGGTAGGCTTCCCTGAAGAGGTGGGTTTTCAGGGTGCGCCTGAAGGTGAGGAGGGTAGGTGACAGTCTGATGGATTGGGGTAGGAAGTTCCAGAGGATGGGGGAAGCCCTGGAGAAATCCTGCAATCGGGCGTGGGAGGAGGCGATCAGGGAGCTAAAGAGTAGGAGGTCCTGTGAGGAGTGAAGGGCACAGGTAGGGTAGTATTTGGGTATCAGGTCGGTTAGGTAGTTTGGGGCGGCGTTGTGAATGGCTTTGTAGGTCAGAGTTAGCAGTTTGAATTTGATGCGTTGGGCAATCGGGAGCCAATGAAGGGATTGGCAGAGGGGGGAGGCAGATGTGGAGCGGTTGGTGAGGTGGATGAGTCTAGCCGCTGAGTTTAGGATCGACTGGAGTGGGGATAGCGTTTGTTTGGGTAGGCCAGTGAGAAGGGAGTTGCAGTAATCCAGACATGAGATGATGAGGGAGTGAACGAGTTGTTTAGTAGTGTCTGAAGTGAGGAACAAACGTATCTTGGAGATGTTGCGGAGGTGGAGCCTGCATGATCTTCATAGTAATTGGACATGAGGTAGGAAGGAAAGGTTCGAGTCCAGGGTGACACCCAGGACTTTGGCATGTGGGGTGGGAGTGATGGTGGCGTTGTTAGTAGTGATGGAGAGGATGGGGGCGTGGGGAAGACCAGGAGCTCGGTTTTGGACAGGTTTAATTTGAGGAAATGGATCGACATCCAGTCTGATATGTAGTTCAGGAGGTGAGCGATGCAGGCGGAGAGAGAGGGGGTGAGATGGGAGGTGGAGAGGTAAATTTGTGTGTCGTCAGCATTGAGGTGGTAATTGAAGCCGTGGGAGTGTATTAGTTTGCCAAGGGAGGAGGTGTAGATGGAGAAGAGTAGGGGCCCAAGGACAGAGCCTTGGGGGACTCCGACAGAGAGGGGAGGTGGCAGTGTTATGGGTGACGCTGAAGGAGTGTATATATATATATATATATATATATATATAATTCCTAATGTATTTCTAAATTTAGCCTTCCTTTGTGGGTTTTGTTTTGGTAGATCTGGAATTATTAACTTGTGTAAGATGTTGACTGTCACGGAACACTGCAGCAGAGTTCTTCTTTGTTGTCCATGACCCTGTGGGCCATGGACATGTATAAGGCCTTTGATAATGTGTTTTGGTTCTGGATGAAACTGGTACTACATTGCATAGGTTTTATTAGTAACTATGCATTATGTGAGTGCTCTTTACAAAACTCTTACAGTTCAAATATACACTTATTTATGCTGCAAAAGTGGACTAGATAGGGGTACATCCTATTATTCAATTTATCCATTGAACCTCTCTACAAATATTTTACATTAACAGACATTTTTAGGGGATGGATGGTGTAGGAACGGGAAGTCAGGTTAGATGACAGATGATTTCCTTTTTCTGTCAGATCCTAAAACACAGGATTTTAAAATGATTCAACAACTGTTTGGATCCTTCTCGGTATTTCATATCAACTACAATAAAACTTGATGTGGTTATCCAAGCAGTTGTTCAAGGTCAAAAAAGATTACCTAACTCATCAGAGATTCAAAGTTTAATTTGATTCGAAAATGTGTTTGCAGATAATCATTCCCTGGGTAATCACAGAGTTAAATTCTAGGAATTTTGGGCAGATCATCAATAAAATTGTGAACTTCAACAGTGGAGAGAGGTAAAAAAAACCTTCTGTTGTCAGCCCCCCTTATACTTACCTGAGCCCAATGTTAATCCAGTACATGAGAGTGATGCCCCTCTCTCCTCACTGGCTCAGATGCAGCAGCGGAAGCCATTGGCAATTACAGCCAGTGAGGAGGGAGTGGGGACTATGTAGGCACTCAGCAGGGGGAGCCAGAAGCACCAGTGGGGGACCTGAAAAAAGGAGACTCAGGGCTGCTCTGTTCAAAACTATTAAGTATAACATGTTTGTAATTTTAAAAACAAAACATTTTTCCCTTTATGATCACTTTAAAAAACTTGATTTTCTTTATAATAGTTTAAATATCTAGGGTATTTATTACTCTTACTCAGTTTAATGTCCTGGCCCATTATGTTTAAGAAGCCTTGAACCTCTTTATTGATTGTTCAAAAATGATGCCAGCTTTTATTTAACTCATTAATCTCCATACTGATTTTTTGCATTTACCCCCTGCCTTTTGCATTTTCCCCCTGCCTTCTTTCCAATAGCAGTTTGATTAAATCCAACCCACTGCTATTGAAAAATTCAAACCATTAATTAATAGATTCTTGATCTATGAGCCCATCATTGATAGAGACATCCAATCTTAATCTCAGAGGGACCATTTTTTCATTAAGGTATTTGTCAAAGGTGACCACGTTCCACCAGAAACATAGGGGTTTATTTACTAAAGCTGGAGAGTCCAAAATCAGACTCCCTTCTGCATAGAAACCAATCAGCTTCCAGGTTTCATTGCCAAAGCTTCATTGAACAAGCTGAGGTTAGAAGCTGATTGGTTTCTATGCAGAAGGGAGTCTGATTTTGGACTCTCCAGCTTTAGTAAATAAACCCCATAATGTCTTCTCAATTTTGTGTTACAGTTGTTAAAACCACCCTCTAAGGAGTAATTCTTTCTACTTTGGTCTCTTCCTGAAAATACTACACCCAAATAGACATCTCTTCTTTAAAAAAAATCAAATAAATCCATATTGTGTTGCAAAAATAGTAGGGAACACCAAGCAAATGGTTTCTTTGTTGGAGAGCGATCCTGGGTTTGCAGTGGTGCATTGACTAAAACGGAGAGTGAAAAATCTGGTGCAGATCTGCATTGAAACCAATCAGCTTCCAGTTTTTGTTTTTTTGTTGTTAAAGCATAAATGAACAAGCTGAAGTTAGAAGCTGATTGGCTATTATGCACAGCTGCACCAGATTTTGCACTCTCCAGTTTTAGTAAATCAACCCCACAGTGTCTGTTCATGGTTTCATTTGCGTATTTAATGTGAGTGCATATGTTAATACTAAAAGGAAATCCCCATGCTACTAACACACCATAATATAGCCAACCAAGTGTACCATTAAAAAAAAAAAACAACACAAAACTACATAGAGAAAATATGCATTACCTTGGAAGAGCTGTCACTACAAAATAACTCACTCGAAGTAATAAAAAAAAAGAAAAAATATAGTGAAGCGCTTGCCTGATATAAATTCATAGCAGATATCACAACCAATGTGTAAAGGCTATTGTCACAATCATGCTCACAGAGAGAGGCACAGTTCTCCATTTTGCTCCAAATTTCTGCATTGTGGTATTTCTCTTAAACTAATATGCAGTCACCTGAGAGTAGCAGGTGTGGTATCGTGCATACGAGAGCCAGGCACAGGCTCTCCCTGTAGGAAGAAGGCTTCATGTATCCCCTCATTCCCCCTCCCTCAGGAATGCAACCAGCGTATGATGGTGAGTCCCTGTCTAACAATTCTTTGCCAAATAAGGCTTGGCTTGTCCATTGTGGGAAGAGATTTTGAGTAGAAAAAAGAAGCTGTTATTTTTTTTGAGTAGTCAGAAAAAGTGAGGACTTGCTGCGTGCAACCAAAAAGTTGAAGAATTCTCCCATTGACCATCGAAACAGAGGGAGATCAAAGCACCCTTCTGCTCTGAAACTTGATCTGCTAACCCCAGGCATTTATTTGCCAAGTACTTAATTACCTAAACTTCTTTCTGTTATCTGTTTGCTGTGCTGTTGTGCTCTGTATATTTATATATATATATATATATATATATATATATATATATATATATATATTGGTTACATCTTCTTTATGTAAATATTTTTACTGCACCCTTTCGACCTTTTGGTAATAAATCTTACTTTCTAAAAGTGTTGAACTGTTTCTATAGTTCCTGAATGTAACTTACGAGTCCCTGCCGCTGAAGAACGCTACTATGAGTATTTAACCCTCTGTATAACCGGTCTGTAGAGATAGCGGGATACTGACGGTTAACCAATCATC